GCATCGGTGTTGAACACTGACATCATGCTATCGATGATGTTGATGATATTCTCACTGTATGATGTGCTTGGTAGTACTACAATCTTTGTACCGTAGGTTTGAAGTCAAAGTGATCACAGATCACATCTGATAAAAATCGATAGTCTGTCCAAATTTTGGTGAAAAGATTTGGAGTGTGGAACAGTTTCGTCCACAGTTGATGCCGTTGTTGAATTTTTCTAAAATAACTTGAACTAAAGTAGTTTATTATCCGATTCGCCACAGTTTAGTCGAATTGATACCCCCCTCTTTGCTGTGCTATTTCATTTTCGGGGTGTGGTAAATTCAGTTGGAATTCTGGTCACATTTTATGGATATTTCGCGAGATACCTTCATGGGATATCTTTAGTTTAGAGAATATTAATGATGTTGAGTATTAGCGAAATTTACTCACTCGCAAACAACTTTGTTTTGCGAGTCGAACAATTTTCAGCAACCTTATGAGTTATGTATTACGCCACATGTTGAATTTTGTTTTAGTCTTAGTGGCATTCTAGTAAGTTCGTGTCAGTTGATCAGAATCGTTTGCGTAGTTTCCGCAATTACCAGTGGCAGTTTTTCTTGGGACCACGTACGTCGAGTGATTTACATCACAGACCGGCCAACATATTTGAAAAGTGGACTCTGAATTGTTTAAGATTTCAATAGCACTGATCTACATATATGAATTTTCAAGTTACTTCCGTTTGTTTCCGTTTTCCTAATCGCTCCATTTCATGATTTCTTCTTTCTTTGGACTTGGCACCCAATCCTGTAGTCTTACCTCCTTATGCACATTGTGCTTGATGCAGCACCCCTTGTTCTCATGGTGAGTAGTCTTGGGCCTTCAAACAACAGGTATTTTAAATCCTGCCTGCTCTGAACGACTTCTTGAGCCATCTCTAGCTCCCAGTTGCTCACCCATTATTGTCTCCTTGGTGCCCTTTCTATACGTGAGCTCGTATCTTTGTCCCTCTAATTCCACCCTTTTGTGAGTTGTTTCATTTAATACCCTAACCATATGCGTTCCGTTATTTTCAGAAATCCGATCAATCACTGACGCGTGACTATTCCCATGAATGTCCGCAGGACTATCAGACTGGCAGCAGGTGGCTTTGTTTCCGCCTTGGCCGCGTTTGAAGCCCAGGTGAATTTAAGAAACTTCCAACAGACCGATAATGTAAAGGATGACACATCACGTTCATTCCTGTTACGGGCCAAATCTTTCTTACAGCCTTTCAATGCCTTATCCTCAGCTTGTGCACAGACGACTACCATCCCTCCCAAAGTGACACCATGGGACTGGAATTGGGACGGGCGCCACCCACAGTCTTCTGTGGTACAAGCGACCGGTGACAATTCCGACGGGCAGCTGAAGCGAAACACGTGTTCTCGTCATCTGATTTTCATAAGGCACGGTCAGTATCACTATGCGGAGTCAGATGAAGAATGCCGCTTGACGCAGCTTGGTCGAGAGCAGCTCGATTTAACTGGGTTACGGTTAAAACACCTGAAATTTCCCTATTCTATCGTTCATTACTCCACGATGACTCGAGCTGTTGAATCTACTGAAGAAGTGCTGAAACATCTACCAGGGGTCAAGGCTATCCCGTCGGATTTGCTGCGTGAGGGTGCACCGTACCCTTTGGAGCCTCCTCTTCCCTACTATCGTCCCACAGCAGAAGAGCTGAAAAGAGATGGCGATCGAATAGAGACTGCTTTCAAGTCATTTGTTCATCGTCCAGATTGTGGTCAGACTCGAGATACATATGAAATCTTCATTTGCCATGCTAACGTAATTCGTTACTTTGTTTGTCGTGCTTTGCAGTTCCCTCCGGAAGCTTGGATTCGATTCTCCCTTGATCACGGAAGCATAACCTGGCTTGTTATTCGTTCCGATGGTCGTGTTGTCCTCCGTTGTTTAGGTAATTCTGGATATATGCCTCAAGAGAAAATATCGGTGCAGTAGTCAGCCCTTCGTTCATCACCTTACTTGATTCCGGTATGCCATGACTCGTTCGAACGAAACGCCCAAGTCGTTTTTAATTATTTGTTCTCATTATCCCACCCATTAGGCATCTTCATGCTTCTTTGTGTTTTCCACATTCTGTACATAGGAAAAAGAATGTGCGCCAGTCTACTACTATATTTTGACTTGTATTACTCAGTCTTGTTTAGCGACGCGTGGTTGGGGGACAACATTACTGAAGTAGATTTTTCAGTTACGTTGGCTTTTGATACACCATGTATGTAGGATAGCAAGATGGCTCAGTGGTAAGACCGCGAATTTACTGACCGGAAGGTCCGTGATTCGAACCCGACCTCTGCCTCTCGACTCAGGGTGGTACGCTTTCTAACTTTCTTGTTAACCGCAATGCGCGCCACACTTGTAATGAATATACAAACACAGGAATTAGTACTACAAATTCGAATGTTGGCGGGAAGCGCAATGTGCAGCTGGTTCTCGTGGTCCATCGTACATGAAGGTTTTCTGAGAACAGTGGCCAGGTCCGAGCCATGTGATCATCGGAGTTTCAAGGACGGTCAAAAACTGGGTGTCTCCTTTGTTATGATTCATATACACTGAGGATATACCACTCCAGTGGACAACAAATTAGAATTTTGGCGATGGAGGAAGCATAGTTCTGGTCGAACGTAGAGTGACCGCTGCGTCATTTGGTTTCACTCACGTGTATGCCCTTGCTACCTATCAAAATCTCTCCACGTCAAGCCGGTTAAATCCTCACGTGCAATTGCACCGAGAAGTGCATTGAAGTGCAGATGAAAGAGCTTGTATCCGAGTACGTCTCGAGCACATTGAATCACTGCAATGACGGTCACATTATGCTTGATCGGAATCCATCTTCTATTGCTGAATACTTAATTTCGTATGACCAGCCTTCAAATTCATCCGACTACTGCACTACTCGAGTCAGGTCTGGATCTTTCAAAATCGCTTAAGCCAGCCTGCGTCGATCTTGGTCCATAAGACCCAGCTGTACACTGTTGTATCTTCGAGTTTTTCTACGCACGTGTATTTGTCACCTTGTAGAATGTTACGATTGGTGAGAACATTCGAAATGGCACAATACCATGCCGAATGTCTTCCTCTTCCGTTTTTTATTCGGTTGCTGTTTGAGTTTACAATTTACGCAACCAATGGCTTTTAAATGTTGATGTGACAGCACTACTTAATGGACCCCTCTACATGCTGTTTTAATACAATTTTCGGGATATGTAGCCAAGGACACCCAGCTACCGTTAGATCTCCCTACTGAAGTGGAAGAATCACAAAGGTAGTGGCACCGCTGCACGTGTTCTATAGTCCCAGGTTTATTTATCGGCAACGGCGAACCGAGCTACAGCACAATGCACACTGTGTTCGTTACTCACAGAAATGGTTTACAAGGGAAGGGCTAGCACGTAACCAGACTACCTCCACAATAATGGTGGACACTGAATTGATTGAAAGCGTGAAACAACCAGTTTAACGTGAAAAGTACTCCTCTTTGTAAAACCCAAAAAGGAATAAAGCACAACCGTGGAGAATCATGAAACAGGTCAGACCTAGTTATCTTGGAACTCTTCACGTTCCATGATTTAGCATTGGGATTTAAAATTACGCACAGAACACTACTGTCGCCGATGCAACGGGGCCGTTATGTGTGCTACGTCCACTTTGCCGGTGATATCGACTGTTTCCGGAGTGTTTCTCCGGCTGTCTGTCCACTAGAAGCCTACTTAACGACAAAAATTATCTCAAGTCTCGAATGAGCAGACCATTTGCTTCTTTGTAGAACTGTTCCGGAAAGGTGCGTCATCTATAATCGGGGAGGTTCGGGACCTATCTGTTTCGTTTGCTTTCCACTGGTCAGCTTTTGAGCATCAACACTCCTTACCGATAAAGGTCGAGCAGTTTCAAAATCTCAGCCTTATACCTTCCAGACCACAACTGCTGCAATTCCGCTACCGAAGGTTGAAAGCATGTCATTTGTCGGCTGCTTACTCTGTCGTCCATAAGTGTGAATTCTAAACCAGATATGGCTAAGCGTAAAAACTTCGAGAAATCTCTCATTTGCACAGGAGTTCGGTTTTGACAGGAGACTCAACTGAATGCAGCTAAGTTTTTCGTTTTTCATGGTACGCCTCAACTGAATGTGCTGCATCAGGCCGCCTCATGTTTCAATTGGCACGATATTCGAGATATCGCAGTACTTTGATTTGTGGAAGTAACACACTACTCATAAGGTTTTCAGCTACCCACGAGTAGTTTATGTCTAGACACAGACGTGAGGATACCATAAACGGGAGACTTGACTGGAGTTCAACTGAATCTCTCGTTGAGACCAAACTGGTTTGCAAATGAGTGTATTTTGCAGAAGTGAGTATCCCTATCACATCAGTTCAAACACTTGGAGAAAAATTGTCGACTATCCAGCTTATTAATAACTTCAAACTAGAAAGCACTAGGATGTGGACTGGATCGTTGAAACATCCATTCAATTTCACCAACGTTATGCAACATACCCGATATTATTTTCTTTCGTGTGATCAAACCGTACAATGTACACTATCTGATTGGTATACGACATGTTCTACAGTAGGCCTGCTATTGCAGACAGCAACACTGAACAATTGTCTTGGAACGAAAAGCCCGAATTCATCGACAGAGCACAAGGGACTGACTTATGTTGCGTTGGATTTATTGCCGAATTTCAGGATCCAAAATACTTTGAAAAACCAACTATGGTCTTTATCCAGGCATTGCGTTTGTTACCATCTAGATTGACCGCTTCTGAGAAGAAGCCTAAATAAGACGAGTATAGGAAACTTGCGGAAGCGAATTTGATGCTACTATGTGTGTTAGGTCTCGCTGTGTGAATTTTGTATCGCTTACTCTGTGCTTGAACTACGCAGTGCACAAAATTCGGGTTTTTATTAGGTGTAAACTATCGTAGTTCGCCTAGTTAATGGATGAGGACGAATTGTTGCGTCTGTACCAATGAGTTGATAATAGTTGGGACACAGCCTGGCCATCACTGTGAACTAGCGTCGGCCAACTATCCTCAGCATACGGAAACTTATCTAGCGTTGAGAACCCAACAAATTTCAATGAAATCATGAAGAATAAGCCATCGGTTGCAGTCAGTGACTGGGCTTCCTGACTTGGTCTCTGTGCCTTACATTTTGTGTATACGAACAAACTTACGAGTACTATCACAAAACAAACTCCTAATGTGGTCGTTCGAAAAGACATAGGACTTAAAATGGGCACAAAGAGCCGGAAGCCTGGTTCAACCAAATGAGGCATACGGCAATGTTAATCACATGTGATGCATTTTAACCAGAATACTCCTCTAAATCCTTTTCGTGTTGTAGATGGTCACCCACATATTTTTTTCTGAGACCCGCAAACCATATGTGCTTCGGCGAAAAAGTTGCACTCAACCTAACTTCTATATAAACACTAAACATCCCAGTATATTCCTTAAATCGAGTCAGGCATCACACAACACACCACGTTCCCCACTGGGGTTTTAATAAGAATGGAATCTGATTTCCTGAGTGCCCATGTTTGGCAAAGCACAGCTTAAAACTGGTTGTTTTCTCATCATCTTAGTTCTGTCCAGCTTGCCATCAACTGTTTCTTATAGCACACATCGTTGATTTCTCGAACTGAACTATCATTACTGTTTTTGTGCACTGCTCTGTTGTGTTATTTGACCAGTTGCAGCATCGTGATCTGCTCTGCCCACATTCGTCATTCCTTCGGAAAAGAGGCCTATTCGATCGTGGGTGAGCTTCATACATATAAAAAAGTGTTGCTGTAGGGCTGAACATTTAAACTTCTAAGCTGGCGTGAACCGATGAAAGCTCAGCTCATTTCAACCTCGGATGTAACGGGCCAACGGTATCTTCGAGTGACGCGTAATACCAGAACCTCCGAGAAGGCAAAACAAAGTCGGAGATGGGTTTCCATACGGTACTTTTAATGCAAGACATAAATTCATAAAATACACAAACCTCGACAGAGGGTACTCGTCCACAACAGATGGTTCAATTGGACTACATAAGTACGAACAAAATGAGCAAACACGCTCCCACGTGCCACAGACACACGTGCATAGAGCCGGCCACAAAATGGCTGGATGGAGTCAAGGCCAAATGAGTGAGTAACAGAAGCCAGCTCACATACACGTAACAAACACAAGAGTGGAGTGAGGGTTACAGACAGGAACAGAGAAAACGTGGGAAATTTTAAAGATGAAAGTAATGGACGGCCTCTCGGGTTTTGTCGCTTTTCTTTCGCGTTTCAATCAGCTATACACCCAAAAAGTGTCACTTGTGAGTTGTTCAGTATCCCTTGGGTGCCACCTGTCTTGGATCATCCGAGGTTATGTGAATGAACTTTGAAAAGACAGCCTTTAGTCAAAGAAAAATCAGGCTCGTGGGACGAGCGGAAACTTCAAAATTTGTACTCGCATATCTCAACACGGATGCGTGTCCGCGAAACCCATTCATATTCAAGAGTCGCAGAGCAAGTACCGGCATAACCGAAGTTGCCACGCATACGGTTCGTTCGAACTTTAGTTCAGGTGCTGCTCAACTTAATTCACCCGGACATACATCTTTGGATGCATTCGGGTTTGCGCCTGTCATATCCTTATTGTAACCCGGCTAATAAGTGCAGAATAGTATTGTGCTTAGACACATTAATTGGGCCCATGAATTTCCAGCCGAACGAACTGTTTCGGCACTGGAATAATGGTAAATTCCAAACTGTGGAGCTCCTCACACGTTGCACTGGGAAGTATTTTTTTTATGGATGCTAAGTTATCAAATGTGACTCGCTTGGCTGATGTTGATTGTAGCTTCTAAAGTGCCCAAGAGGAAGTAGATGCTTTGATTCCGAACATATAAATGCATCGAATGTAAAAATACAGTTTTTCGGCCCCTTCCTAGAAG